ATATGGGAACATACAGTGATGATAATACATAACACATTATTATTATTTCTTTCTAAAAAACAAAGATCTTTTGTGTGATTTACAGAGCTAAAATATTCACTTGTGTTTGTTTTCCTACAAAATAAATCCGATGAATGAACGTTCTCCAGGTGGGCTGTCTAATCACAGAATCTGAACGCTCCCGACACGTGATGTTTGGTAAAAAGGTTGTGACCTCAGAGTTATTGTTATTTATGAAATGTTGAGATTATTCCACAGCCAAAATGAGAGCAGAGCAACTTCCTGTTTGTCTTCAGGAACTTTGAGGAGTCTGAGGACGAGCTGAGGGAGGCCGTGGCAGACTCCATGAGGAACCTGTACGTCGTGGAGGACTCGAGCTGGGAGAACGTGCAGGAGGCTGAAGAGGCAGAGCAGACGAAGAGCAGAGAGGAAGAGGAGGCTGCAGTTCATCAGGAAGTCCAGTCAGAGGCCAAGAACTTTCATCAGGTCTGACCAAAGCTGAAGCACAGAACGATCATGCCGAGGCTCCAGGCAACCAGAACCACCTGAACCCTCACACACTTGCAACTTTTACTCGATCTTATTAAATGTTGTGACTGAAAATGAGTGAAGTCAAACTTGAAATTAATGCGAACAATCTCATAACTCTCCAGATATCTTTCACCGTGCTGCCTTTTCCACAGAAATGACCAAAACGTTTGACGAACTGAGCAGTCGCTGCTTGAAGTGTGTGAATCCCTCATGAGAGCAGCTGTGGCTCAGTGGTTAGAGCAGTCGTCCTCTAATGCGAGAGTTCGGGGTTCAATTCCAGCAGCAGTCACCTGTGGAAGTGTCTCTGGGCAAGACACTGAACCCCTCACAGCCTCTGATGTGTGTCCCATCGGTGTCTGAATGTGATAAAGCTCTGATTAATCTTTGTACAGGTCTAGTAGAGTGATGGGTAAATGAGGCACAGAGTGTGTTGTGAAGAGCTTTGAATGTGTTGATCAGATGGGAAGGCGTCATGTAAGTAGTCCTTTTACCTAGTCCTCATCCCTTTTGGGACACAAGGCCACATGAGACAACACTTATATGGTAATGTGTGGATGAGAATAAAAACAGGAAGTACCTTCTTTTAGCAGACAGCGACTGTCTGCGTCACCTTCAGCTCATTTCTGCTGATGTGCTTCGGATGCTTTCCGGATTCTGTCAAAGAATCTGTCAAGGTTATTTATCTTCAGTGAGGTCCACCTGAAGCACAGCAACATAAAAACAGACCATATGGATCTAGAACATCACTAAGAGCTCTAGATCAATATATGAGGAGAGTTTTTTTTCTTTCAGCTGCTCCCTTCTTCACAGGTCACCACAGCAAACTAACTTACACAAAGACTTGGCGGCTGTTTTTATGCCAGTTGCCCTTCCTGACACAACCACACACCAGGAGCTACCACAGCCCTCTGCATGGAGCCGAGAGCTGCCATGTAGGGGGCCCGGGGAGCAGATGGTGGGGGTTAAGGGTAGGCCTGTCACAATAATCAATAAATTGCATGATAAATGAAAATTATCAACCTCATTTTCATTTATCAGCTTTATCATTTCTTCGTGTCTCTCTCTTTCTACTGGATGAGAAAAGATACAGATACACTCACTGGATATCCTTCATCTATAAGACCCTTCTAAACCTAGTCCCGTCATACCTTACCTCCCTAATACAAACATCACACAATCATTACTCCCTGCGCTCTAATGACTTAATCCTCCTGTCAGTTCCTCTGGTCAGAACTGAACTAGGACAAAGAGCATTCAGCTTCGCCGTCCCCTCAGCCTGGAACAACTTACAGACAGATTTGAAACTATCAACACTCATCTCGCCTAGATCCTTCATGTCAACCGTATCAGATAATGTTATCAAAAATATGGACCATTGCAGATGTTTCTAAAACACTACTTATCAAATACACATGTCTTTGTTCACTTTTAACTCTGTCTACTTCAACTGATGTCTGTTCTACATTTAATGTCTACAGAAGTCTGTCTTATCCGGATGGTTTCAAACTGTTAACATTTATTTATCGTGATAGTAGTTTCTTTTTTCTTTTGATAAATGTAAATGCTTATTGTCAATTACCCTGTGACGTGTGCTGATGACCACTTGACCAGGTCCCCCTTGTGAAAGAGATCTCGATCTCAACGGGCTCTACCTGGTAAAATAAAGGTGATTGATTGATTGATTGAAAAGGCTCAATCCGGTGCTCTTCACCGACCCCTCCCTTTCTCTTTTCTCTATTTTATTTCAAATCCATTTTAACCGTCTAAAATCACGTTTTTGAATCGTTAAAAGCAGCTGAGGAGCTAAGCTACGAGCTAAGCTAACAGGCCGACCTCGGGGAAAAAACCTCTGTCTTGTCGAAGCTCCAAAATTCACGGTTGAAACCCGTGCCTTCGTGTGAAAAGTTGTTTTTCTTTGAAAAAATAAGCTGAGAACTTGTTTACTGATTTTTTATTAAAAGTTTTGTGTGACAAATGTTGTGCTAAAGAGCTCAAACCACACCAAGCATCTGCCATTTTGAAAACCAAAAAAAAAAAAAACGAGACAGCCCATGTCATGTCAAGGAGCCTCCCTCCCATTTTTCTTAAAGAGACACGCTGCTCGCTCCTTCACTATCCATCCTTCGGTTCAACAGTCTTATACTGCCATCCAGTGGTCAAAAAGGTACTACACACAAAAATTTACCAAAATTTCTTCTTAAATTTGACAATAATTACTGTTTTCAAATTCTAAACAATATTATCGTTTATCGCAATAATTTCTGAGACAATTACATGTAATTGCCCAGCAAAATTTGTTATCGTGACAGGCCTAGCTAAGAGCCTGGGTCAAATGAGGGTGGAGGCAGATGGGGGTGCTTCACCTATCCCACCCACATTTAGATGAAATTGGTCTGGGAAGTCAAACCGACAACCTTATGATCACAGGCTCACCTTATCTAACCTCTGCACGACCACTACCCAAGTGCATAGTAACCTTATAAAATAAATTCATATTTTGATTGATGCCATTTAGTCAAAAATACATTTTGTATCAAGTATTTTTTGAAAGTAGCAAGTTAAAATAGGTTTTGTTTTAAAAAAAACTTTTTTTTTCTATTTTCTTATAATAAATGTAATAAAGCCTTCCTGAGGTCAGAGGTTTGTTGTTGGACAGATCATTGCAGGATCTTTTAAACAGAGCTGTTTTATGATCGTTGATTTCTCTGCTCTCAGCGTGGATTGATTGATTGAGCCTGGTTCTGCTGGATGAGGCTTTTTCCACTGTTGCCTCTGCTTGCTCAGGACAGGAGACTGTGATGAAGTGAAAACTCTGAAGGCTCCTCTGATAAATGATGTTATTAACGAACTTTATATGAACATGAATGTTTCTGTCCTTGTGATTCAGCACTATATAAATAAACTGAATATCTGTCTTTGCAGATTTTAATATTTGATATAATGAACACGTGAGAGATCTTCTACATGCTCTTCCTCCCCACTTTTCTTTTAGTGACAGATGTAGCTGTGTGTGGAAATACAGCAGTGCTCGAAAAATAACCATCAATACGAGGGAACGTTCAGGAAACTGACATTTAACCACCAGTCCACGTCTGGAGGAGACTACTTGAGTTTGGGTACACCAGTCGGAGGGTGGGGGTGGTGCAGTGGTATGGCAGCCTTCTCAGGACCAGTGAGTCACAGGTTCGATTTACTGCCATGCCCATATATGGTGGTGTCCTTGAGCAAGCCAAGGATCAAACACAGAGAACAATACCTTCATTGTATGAGCACAGGATGACAAGACAAAACACTTCCACTAAGTGAAGCAGGTGTGACAGGACGCAGAAGTGACAGGACGCAGGAGTGACGGGACGCAGGAGTGACGGGACGCAGGTGTGACGGGACGCAGGAGTGACGGGTCGCAGGAGTGACAGGACGCAGGAGTGACAGGTCGCAGGAGTGACAGG